TTTTTTTTTTTTAATTTTAGGGAAGGGTCTACAGGGTGTTCAGGGTCTTACTACCAGAGCAGACTCATAGTGATCTGCCTATTTACAGCCTCCTCTAAGAGCTGGAATTACAGTGCAGTCTCAATTGCCAACTCAGCGTGCCCCAGGGGTGGGGCCAGCATGGCAGGCCTGGGGGATACCCCTGCCCCTGTGCCTGCTTGCAGGCTCTTTAATCCACGGAGCTATTTGGCCGGCCCCTCTAGCAATCTCTTAAAACAACAAAAAAGAACACTCAGAAACTGTAGATATAGTGGGCATGTAGTACACACCTATAATCGCAGGACTTGGGAGGCTGACACAGGAGGATTGGATTGCAAGTTTGAGACAAGCCTGGACTACAAAGTGAGCTCAAGGCCAGCCAGAAATGCATAGTGAGACCCTGGCTCAAACAGAAGAAGAGTGAAACTCTTCATTAAACCTGATTTGCTTAAGTGGCCAACTTTGTCTTTTTTTTTTTTTTTGGCAGAACCAAGGATTGAACTCAGACCCTTGCTCTTGCCAGGTAAGCACTTATTCTACTGTGCCACCTCTCCAGACCCAAGTGGACAACTCATTTTAGCTACCTTTCCAAATTTAAAAAATAGGGGCCAGGGAGATGGCTCAGTGGAATAAGTGCTTTCCTGGCAAGCACAAGGGCCTGAATTCAATCCCCAGTTCCGCAGAAAAAAAGAAAGAAAGAAAGAAAGAAAGAAAGAAAGAAAGAAAGAAAGAAAGAAAGAAAGAAAGAGTGCACAGGTTGAAAGACTACAAACACTAGCACACACAAAATATGATCTGATTTCTTTTGCTTACACAGTCATAAAAATCAAGTCCTATGTTAGGACAAACAAGAATGACAACATACAACCAAGGTCCAGTGTTTGATGCGAAACAAACTAACTTCACCTGCAATTTTCTACCACCACCCTCGTTACATAGTAATCAAATCAAAGTGAGCAGGTGTTGAGAAGGAATCACAAAGTAATAAATTTCTATTTCCTTCATGTAGAAAATATTTTTAAAAAATCCAAGACAATGAAGAATAAAAAGAAGTTACTTTAGAAAGCACTGCACTAATTTCTGTGAACAGAAACCACTGAGGGACCTTCTCACCGTTTTTGCCAGGCTGCAGGCCTTTTCAGGAGAGTTCAGAATCTCGTAGTAGAAGACTGAGAAATTAAGTGCCAGGCCAAGTCGAATTGGGTGTGTAGGCTGCATTTCTTTCTTACTAATTTCAAATGCTTCCTGGTAAGCCTGCTGGGAGTTCGACACAGTGGCTGTAAGAAAGATGATCAAAATTAAAGGTTGTATTATACATTAGATTTGCTATCAAATTATTTTTAAAAACTAGGCTGAAGCAAATAAATCATCCAAATGAGGTATCAGCTGGGCCTGATGGCGCATGCCTGTAATCCCAGGAATCCCAGCACTGGGAGGCTGAGGCAGGAGGATCGTTGCAAATTTAAGAGCAGCCTGGGCTACAAAGTGAGCTCAAGGCCAGCCTGAACTGCATAGTGAGACCCTGTCTGAAAAAAAGACCAAAAAATAAAATAATAAAATAAGAGGTGTCAGTGCCTCCACCTTTCAATTTAAAGTCTGTTAAATGTTCACCTTAAGTCAAGTACTATACTATATTAAATGCTTTAGGGGAAACAAAGACATGATAAAATTTGAAAGAGCAGCTAAAATACAGACATAGCCTTTAACAAGACAGAAAGCATAAAACATTATGCTCTAGTAGACAGAAAATAGGCTTTTACAGTTGGCAGACCCAAACTTTAATCCCCAACTTTTGGGTATGTGGCCTTGTTGCTTGGAGCAAGTAAAAACCTCTATTCACAAGTCATGCCTTCCTTTATTAGAAAAACAGGCAGACTGCACCCGTCATAAAGTTTTATGAGGATAAATAGGACTCCGATGTATTCGGCACACAGCAGGCACTTAATGTAAGCTGTAATTATCACCCTCACTGTAATCCATGTGATTTAAAAAAAAAAAAAACATCGTTGAGTGGTTTCATACCATCAAATGCAACAGGTCTTTCTTATTTGTGCAGTGTACATTCCAAGACACCAGTGAATGCTTAAAACTGTGGCAAGTACTGAAGCCTGCATAACTTTTTTTATATACACATACCTCTGGTAAGTTTATGAATTAGGCACACCAGATTAAAGATAGCTAATTAAAATATACAACAATTATAAAAAAGTGTAATAGAAGTTTGCACTTTAGAGTAAAATAAGGGCTATCTGAACATAAGCACTGTGGTACTGTGACACTGTGATGGTTCATCTGATAAGCAAGATGACAATGAAGTCATAGGCAGGTAACAGGTACACATGCTAGGCAAAGAGATGATTCATCTCCCAAGGAAGGTGGCATGATACTTCACATATTACTAAGAACACTGTGTAATATTAAACTCATGAATCATTTATTTCTATAATTGTCCATTTAATATTTTCAGGCCATGATTGAGCTTGAACAACAAAGTGGGAAAAACATGAAGGATAGTCTACTATATGCTAAAGTTTTGCCTCTAAACAGAATTACCGCTCAATCTCCAAATGCACTACAATCACTCTTAATGCCCTCAATATTCACCCCTCAGATATATCTTGATTTGTCAACACCCAAGACCTCATCCATCACTGTGCTATGGCCTTTTAAATTCTTACTGTGACATTAGTGTCTATGGTGAACTGACAAAGCAAAACTTTAAGGTCATTATGACAGAAGCTTAGCTCTACTGTTGGTCAAAAACTTTTAAATGTTACTTACTTTGTTTATTATCTCCAGATGCCACCTCAGAAAGATACCTAAAATAATCTCCTTTCATTTTCAAGTAGAACACCTTACTTTCTGGTTGGGTAGCATTGGGAATAAGGTATTTGTCCAACAGCTCCTAAAAAATGATTCACATTGTTAAGAATTTTGAATCATTTACAAAGTGTTAAAATTATGTTTGAGATTTAAGGTACACACTACCACTACCAATTTTCTTTGAAGACTTAAAAAAACGCAAAGCATTTTCATCCAAGTCACTTGCTTTAGCCTAGGTCATAATAGCAGATGTTTATATTCTTCTGTTAAAAGTTACTTTCAACATCCGTAAGGGATTAACTAAAATACGGTTATTAAAGTGCAATGCTAGGGAAAAATGATGAAGCAGAACTACGCTGGTAACATAGAAAGGCTCTCAAAAGACATTGTGCAAAACCAGATTACAACCACAAGAATCCTATTTTAATACTAAAATACCTATGTGCACAACAACACAAATTCAAAGGGGGAAAGCCTGGAAGGATTGTATTAACAATGGTTTTCTGGGTGATAGGATCAGATGTGAATTTTTTACTTTATACTGTTCTGCCCTGTCCTTTAGGACAAATAAAAAAATAAAATAAAAACCTCTATAATTAGAGCAAAAAGTTCTATTCTGGTAGGATAAATGTAGTAACCAAACAGAACTGCAAGAACTAAAGTTTATAATTAATCAGACCTGGGGGAAAAAACACTCCTCTGCTGCTTCCTATCTGTATCCACATGAGCCTACTTCATCACCAGCAGCCTCAGTTTCCTTGGTTACACAGTGGCGGCCCACAACGGCCACCTTCTAAAGTAGTTATGAGGACAAGTAAGCTAATGTACATAAGGTGCTTAACACGTTGCCTGGCACGTAGTAAGCACCAGAAGAATCTAGTACTATTATTAATAATAAATTCCTTTAAACATTATGCTTACAACAAAAGTAGTTCTGAAGGAGTCCAAGCTTCGTATACAGAGCAATATTTTCGAAGAGTTGTTTTAGAATGTGGCATCCTGAAAAACTGGTTAAGAGGCAGTAAGTACCATGCTCTTCTTCACATTCTTTCAGATGCTCTTAAAAGCTGGTCTACATTTCAGGAATTATGGAACTTTCTCGCCCTTGGAATGCATGCCATACTTCATTTGAATACCAGATGTACCTAACATTCAGGAATTAGTGCACCATTAACAAACCCCCAAATGACCAACAGGTAACAAGTTTAGCCATGACACTTATCTCATACCTTCTATTAAAAAAAGAAGCTCAACTAAACACTTAACTCTAAGAATACTGAACCAATCAGTGAGGAGATGCAAGGGGCAATAGTAGTTTTTAGATTCTTTGCAGGCAGACTGGGTACAACTCATTATAGGTTAGGGATGAGGAGTACTGCCTCAAGACTGACAAGCTTGGGACTGGGGAGATAGCTCAGTGGAATAAGTGCTTGCCTGACAAGGTCCTGAGTTCGATCCCTGGTACCACAAAAAAAAAAA